GGGTCACTAGGAATCATGCTTGACTTGAAGGCAATCAAAAACAACATATACACACACACACATATATACACACTCACACATATATATAAACACACACACACACACATATACACATATATATAGTTATTGTTATTCTTTCATGTCATCGCATCGCTTGCGACTCATAGCAACCCTGTGTACAACAGCCCTGAAACCTGCTTTATCCTGTGCCAACTATATTGTTTCCTACATACCTACCCTCATTACCCCAGTCACTGTATCAATCCATCTCATTGATAGTCTCCCTATCTTTCTCTGTCCTTCCAGCCTTCCAAGAATGATGTCCCTCTCCAAAGACTGGTCCTTCTTTGCAACATGCCCAAAGTATATCATAGGAAGTTTTAGAATCCTTGCCTCTAAGGAGCAGGCTGGCTTCACACTCTCTAGGATGAACCTGTTTGTTCTCCTGCAGTCTGTGGTATATTCAAAACTCTTTTCCAGCACCACAGCTCAAAGGCATCAATTTTCTATCATCCCTACTCATTGTCCAGCTCTCTGATGCAAGCAATTGCAACGAATATGGCCTGTATCAGGCATACTTTAGTCTCCAGACTGACACTGTTGCTCTTCAGTACTCTGGAGAGGTCCCTGATAGCCGACATTCCCAATGCAATTCATCTCTTGATTTTCTGGCTGCTTGTACCAAGAGTGTTGATTGTATAGCCAAGCAAACGAAAACTGTGAATAATCTCAGTCTCTTCACCATCCATCATGATGTTGTCAATTGGCCCAGTAGTGAGAATCTGTTTTCTTGATGTTGAGCTTCAGTTCATATTGAACGCTGCAGTCCTTGGTCTTCTGCAATAAGCGCTTCAAGTCCTCTTCAGTTTCAGTAAGAAGAGTTGTGTCATCTGCATCACACAGGTTGTTGATTAATCTTCCTCCAGTCTTGATGCCACATTCCTCCTCATATAGCCTAGCCTCCCAGATGATCTGTTCTGCATATAGATTGAAAAGGTATGGAGACAGAATACATCCCTTGTTTACATCATTCCAGATTTTGAACTATGCAGTGTCTCCTTGTGTTGTTCTGACCACTGCCTCCTGAATAGATTTCACGTAATTACAATCAAATGTTCTGGTATTCCCATTCTTTTCTCAGAGTCAGCCACAGTTTATTGTGATCCATACAGTCAAATGCCTTTGCATAATTAATGAAATACAGATAGACATTCCTCTTGTACTCTCTTCTTCCTGTCAAAATCCATCTAATATTAAGCTGTAATATCCCTAGTACCATGGCCTCTTCTAAACCCTGACTGCATGTCTTTCATTTCTCTGTTGACGAGCTGCTCCTGTCATTTTTGGATGATTTTCAGCAGACTCTTGTTTGCATGTGATATTAATTATATTGTTCGATTGTTTCCGTACTCTGTTGGATCACCTTTCTTTGGAATGGAAACAAATATAGATCTCTTCCAGTCAGTTGGCCAGGTGGTTGCCCTCTAGATTTCTTGGCACAACTTGGTGAGCACATCCAAGGCAGCATCTCTTTGTTGAAATATGTTTATTGGTTTTTTGCCACTTCTTTCAGAGAACAGCCTGAACTTCATCCTTCATCACCACAGGCTCTTGTTCATATGTTGTTTCATGAAATTCTTCTGTCAGCCAGTTCCTTATGATACAGTGACTCCGTATATTCCTTCTATCTTCTTTTAATGCTTTTTGCATCATTTAATATTCTGCCCAAAGGATCCTTAAGTATTGCAACTCATGGCTTGAATTTGTTTTTCAGTTCCTTCAGCTTAAGAAATGCTGTGTGAGTTTGGCACTTTTGTTTTTCTGACTCCAGCTCTTTGCACATTTCATTATAATACTTTGCTTTGTCTTCCTGGGCTGCCCTTTGAAATCTTTTGTTCAACCCCTTAATTTCTTCCCTTTGCTTTGGCTTCTCGACACTCTAGAGTAATATTCAGAGTCTTATCTTGGTCTTTACTTCCTCCTCTGTCTTTGTAATGACCTTTTGCATTTTCTATGAATGATATTCTTGATATCCTCCCATAGCTCATTTGGTTTTCTCTCATTGGTGCTCAAGGCCTCAAACTGTTCCTGAGATGGTTCTAAAATTCAAGTGGGATAGACTTATGGTCAAATTTTGGTTTCTGTGGACTTGATTTAATTTTCCTCAGCTTCAGCTTGAATTTGCATATAAGGAGTTCATGGTCTGTTCCACAATCAGCACCTGGCCCAATTTTCACACCTGATATTGAGCTTCTCCAGCAATTCTTTCCACAGAAGTAATAGATTTGATTCCTATGAATACCATCAGGTGAAATCCATGTATATAGCCTGCATTTGTGTTTCTTATAAAAGGTATTTACAATGAACAAATCATTGAATGTGCAGAATTCTGTCATTCTATCTCCAGCTTCATTTCTGCCACCTAGTCCATGTTTTCCAACTACTGATCCTTCTTACCTGTTCCCAACTTTTGCATTTCAGTCACCCATTATTATTAATGCATCTTGATTGCATGTTCAATATCTGACTGCAAAAGTTTGTAGGCATCTTCTATTTCTTCCTTCTTGGCTCTGGTTGTCAGTGCATGTATTTGAACAGTAGTGGTATTCACTGGACTTCCTTGTATGTGTATCGTTATTATCCTGTCACTCACCACATTATATTTCAAGAATGGATCTAGAATTGACATTTTTAATTATGAAAGCAACCCCATTTTTCTCACCTTTTCATCCCCGGCATAGTAGATCCAAAATATCTCATGCCAAGCCATCTCACTTCGCCAGTACCTAATATGTCAGTATTTATGTGTTTCATTTCTTTCTTAACAGTGTCTGATTTTCCTGCATTCAGGCTTCTCACACTCTATGTTCCAATCAGTGGTGTCTGCTTACAACGTTCCTCCTCTGTGTTTCCATATTTGAGATCTCTGCCTCAGTCGCCATATCTGCTAGTCTTAAGTTAAGTGTGCTCTATTAAACATATTTTTGAAGGCCTGTTATTTCAGAAGTGGATAGCCAATCCTTATTCCTAGTCTGTCTTAATATTTTTTTTTCTTTTTTAGAATAGTATCTGACAGACAAGCATTTTACAGAAAGGAACAGATAAAATACATTAACCCAATTATAGAAATGGCCAATAGATTCAGTGTTGCTACCGTTTGGTACATGTGTTTGTTT